CAGTGAGTTACCCACACGGAAGATACTAGTACGTACTTGTTCATAGCTACATTCTTACCTACCAAACGAAGGTGTTTGAAAAATAAACACAAACTTAATAAACAAACAAAACAAACAAAATAGTTAATAATAACAACAAAAAAGTAACGCACTATCAAGAACATAAAACATTGAAGAATAAAAAAGCACGTTCAATGAGAAGGCTGACACTCAGATTCATCGATAATTTTTTCAATGTTTGCAGTATAATTTGATACAGCCATTCGAATACAATTATTAAAATGTTCATCTGTAAGTCCATTGCGATATTTGTTCTTAATAAACTTCATATTGGAAAAAGAAGATTCACACAAATAGGTTGAACTGAATAATGCTTTCACTTTCAAGGCAACACGGCATAAAATTGAATATTTGTGCTTCATTTGCAGCCTTAGACTGTAGACTGTTCTTAACATTATTGATTCTTGTCCAATTAACTGCCTTTTTTAACTGTTTCAGTTTCTCCTTCCTAGCGGCAGAATGAACTGGGAATGTTTTTTCAAAATTAGAATGTCCAGTTTTATGTACAATATTACCTTTTTTGGCAACGGAGACCGAAGTATTACATAACGAGTAATCATTTTTATCTTTAATTTCTGTAAAAAATATTGTTCTTCCTATTCCGAATGAAAGTGTATGTCTTTACCTTTTTACTGCCGCTTGCCACAATATTATTTTTTGTTGTTCCCAACTAACCCAACGGCTTGACGCTGGTTATGCATTCAGTGTTAAACTAAACGCAACGTCGCCGCGCCGTGCGTATTTATCCCGTTCAAAGCAATCCAGATCGCTCTCGAACATTAACGCGCTGGTCCGGCTGATCGGTTCTAGCATAATATTATGACAATTAGATTTTTTGTGGAATTGTTTATGTTTAATATTATGACAATTAATTTTTTTTTGGAAATTTGAAGTTTCTCCGATTTTTGCAGTTTATGTTTTCAAAATTAAAATCGTTGTGGGAGCTACCAGAATTGCCTCCGCGGGCTACCGGTAGCTCGGGGTTTGTAGGGTGGCGACCGCTGGTATATGTTGTTCTTATTAGGGACCGTTTCCAGGTAGTGCTATGTCAATCTTTCATATTACGAGGACCGAATCAATCAGAGATCGCTTTCGAAAAGGACCGAATCATTTCAATGAATCGTTCAATACTTTTTGTTGCCAACATAAGCGACAATAGTCACTGAATCCGAACAGTCCGAACGACCGATTCAGATTCATTTGAATTTGAATTATTGTTGTGTCTATTTCTGTTTTCTGTTCTAGTTGGTATAATATTTATCTGTGTTCTGCTTTTTATTGAATCATACCAGTAATACATTAATTTGTTTAAATTAAATACCTGTGTGGAAATGTATATTTCATTCAATATTCACATAAGCAAATCTACCAATCCATGTCGCAACTCAATACTATAGAATAATTTTAACAATACTCCCATTCCTTTTCGGTGGCCTGTCTCAGTCATGCATTTAAATCTTAAACCATTCAAATGAATCGTATTCCGCAAGGCGAATCCGATTTTTCTTGGTATGGTCGGTCGTCCGGTATTTGGTCACTTCAGACCACTCAGGGCGGCAGCGAAAGCGAACAAGGTGATCGAATCGTTACGAACAAACGGGATTCGGTCGTTCGATCCTATGAAGTGATTGAAATCAATCGCGATTGACACAACTCTAGTTAGTTCAGAACTCTCAACGAAGCAACTGCGTTGTGCCATTGATCTACATTTATATTACCGTATTATATTTTTCACTAATTTTATTTTAATAAACTGCACTAAGATTTTTTTTAACTGTGCTGAATCTTTTTATTCTAAACAATAAAAAGTTCAACACTTTCTTTTATTTAACAGCATCAGTACAAAGGGAAAACATAGTTAATTTCGTTAATTTTATTGCCTCTTTCTATGACCACGCCATTTTTTTCTGTACATTGAAACAAGAACCACCAGCAAATGTGATGTGATTTGCAATCTCCTGAAAATATTTTTGAGGATAGAAAGAAGAGTTTTTTTTTAATCAGCTGTTAATGTGAAAATGCTGAGCACAATATCTTAAACTGCATATCTCTGAAATTCAAAATAAGGAACGCGCATTGAAAATATTCAGAAATTATAATTTTCCGTGGACCTTCAAAGCGAGACGATCATAAGGTTCACGTTGAAAGAGAAATTAAAACACCGAATGATAATAAAATTCACTATTTCTTCCCGCTCCCGACTTAAACGTATTCACGGCACCTATTTCGCATTCAGTTTGCATTAGTCACGGAAAAATACTTTTAATTCCGTTCTGGCCGTTTAACATTTTTTCCATTTGCTGACGCTTCCACTTCGAGATGGAATTAAACCGAAACAAGATAAGGAAATATCAAATAAATCATAACGTAATAGGAATTTCAACTGTAGAAATTAGCGAGACAATTAAACAATACCTCTATAAATTAAAAGAAATATTATCAGACTGCCTGTCTACGCCGGAAAATAAATTAAGTCGCGCCTCTTTACTGCAGATTAATTTTTTTTTGCGCTCAATGTACACACAATTATCTGATAGAATCAGTGGCGCTCCCAGCTATGTACCGGTCAGGGTGGTGGGGGGAAGCGACGACCGTAAACGGTGTAACTAACTATTAGGCCGTTAAAACTATAATTGGTTTAATAAAACTTTACATCTACGGATCACTAAGTTGAGAAAGTCAACGAGATAAAATTTGCCAGGAAATTCAACGGTCTAATATAAATAAAATGTTTGTAGTTGTTAAATTGTGGAAAATTTACAGACATTTTATTCCTTAAACCAATATGTACAGTGCGGTATTTGTTATCTGAGGAACAAACAATGGTTCTGGTCTTATCTAAGTTTACGCATTTTGCAGTGGGTGTGTAATCAATTTAATTTGAGGAAGCTAGATGCTAAACCAAATAGGCCGTCACCAATGTACATTGTACAATGTACATTTGCACCTAACACACTTACTTGTATTTTTATAAGCAGCGATTCCCACCCACGTGACCGATTTTTGCATGGCCAAGATTGCGCAAAATCTTTGAAAAATTCCAAATTTTACTTTTGGCAGGTTCGATAAACTTTTTAACAAACTCGTTTAATAAAAACTCTCTCCGCTGCGCTCCGCTCGTGTCAAATAAACTCGTGAGTTAAATGCCGTTTACCGCACTTGTTGCATAATATACTATTTTTCAATGGATGAACTTAATATAGGTATATATCAATAAGGACATATCAATTTTGTTTTTTGGATTGCTCGTGGCTGTTATTTAATTGAGTCTCTGCTCTTCTACCTAAAGTAAATTCTTTAATTTTGGTTAGAAATATCTCAGGAATTTTTTTATATGAATGCTTATTGTCTCATAAACCTTCGTAAAGAATAAAATTCTGCCCATCTCTGCCTCCCTATTTTATAAAAATATATTAAGGTGCCTATATAATAGTAACATTTATAGGTTTTTTTATTCGTCTCCTCTCAGTTTCATGAGTTTTTGATTTACAGATTTCTCCACATTGCCAAAATTTATAAATAGGATATGTCCAGCAAAAATATATTTAAGCCTTGTTCCTCAGGTGTAATTTAAAAATACAATTATGAACCAAATAGAAAATATTTTGATGAGGCTGATAAATGAGGAATACCTGATCTATGGCATTTCCTCACTTCATACGTGGATTAGGTGCTTAGTATGTTTTCTAAAAATTAATTATCGGTCGCAATTGGGGAAATGGCAAGAACGGACAAATTACTTGTTAAAGAATTTCGATGTCGTTTGGGGATCATTGTAGACCGGCTCTGTGTCATTTTTGAAAAAGTTTCCGCCGAAATTACCAAATTAGATGAAAAACTCATTTTCAGTTTTTATCTTATTTTACAAGTCGGAACGAGTCGAAACTGTGCGATTATTTGTTTCCCTATGTCTTTGGTACAAAATGCTAGTGACTATCCATAAAATATTGATAAACGGAAAAGAGATCGTGAAGTCCAGTCAATCCAATGCCAGTCAACTATCCCAAGGCCCGAAGATACAGGGAATATAATTCGAGAAACTGCAGCAGGCTTGCAATAAATTTGGATGTATTTCAAAATTGTTACGCCAATTTAAAGCTTTAAATAAAAACAGATTTAGTCCCGAAACTTTAAATTTGCTAGAGCCTTTCAAAGAAAATATTAAAATTCTAAGGGAATCAGACGAACCTCGCGATTCTGATTAAGCGTTGAATTAAAATTAAACTTGTTATATTATTATTAAATTAACTTAAATTAACTGGTTAGTTTTATTTTGAAATATTTTCTGTTTTTATCCAATCGGTTCCTAAAGAAACTACAGATTTGCGATTATCTTAGAATAAAGAATACAATGTGATATTTTTCTACATTAGTTTCTCATCCAATTTCTGGTGCAAAATAAATTTTAGATACCACATCTTCTAATTTCTGATTAAATGCCTCATAAACACAATGAAGCATTAATGAATGAATGAATGAATGAATGAATGAATGAATGAATGAATGAATGAATGGAGCACCTTTTCACAAACTTGCACTACTTGCTGTATCATTTAATTTAGACAAGAAAACAGCTTTTAAATAATTTTTCAATTTTTTTGGGTCATTCTGGCCCATTGTGCCCCAAATTGTCTGGAACTGTAGAATTCACGAACTGTCGTCGGTAATGTTGAACTCCGCAAGCTCGTACCTAATATTGAAAGGCAACGTTTAAAACGACTAAGTGCCAGTGTCCAAAAATAGAAAAAAAAATGGTATAACCAAACATTTTAACTAGAAGCTAAGAGATGTGTGATAGTGTGATTTGCTGCTTGTTATTAGTAGCCAGTCAGAAATGTAGTGTCATTTCGAATACCCAGGATTACAGATGAATGAGAAATTTTACCTCAATGATATTAATTGAACTGGTAATTCATATTGGTTTTCATTTTTGTTTTCAGATATGTCTCGGCTAGAGAAATCTCCGCTTCTAGCCAATGGCTACAACCACCCACCTCACTTAAGTCACATGCAGTTTATGCAACTACCACATCCTGCGGCTGCACACTCGGCGCTACTGTCGCCTGCGATGCCACACAATCTTAGCAGGCACGACGGTTCGATCATTAAAAATCAGGGCATGCCCACCATGGAGGCTATTGCAAGGTAAGAGCGATTTAAATAACTTCCTGAATACCAGGGGAAAAGGACAACGATATAATGTTCATATGTAAACTTTGCAATTTAAGAATAACTATTCCCAGAATTTCAAGTTCTTTAAATATTGTTTGCATGCGCGTGTCACTTTAAGCCGTCAGCCTCATTAACCACTGTGACTAGCAAGTTTGGATGCCTGGTACTTTGGTGGATTTAAAGTACTGAGGGTATAGTGATACCTGATTGTCATTCGTTCTGTATTGCAAAACGTGCCCAAAAACTATGGGCCGTAGAAAAATATCTTCAATCACTCCTTTCATAAACACTTTCTCCGTTGCGCTCCTCCCTTTTAATCTTGTTTTTCTTAATGGAAAGTGCATAATCCTCAGTACTAGTACTACGATTTCAAATGCAAGCAAATAAATAAAAAGAAAGAAAGAATTAATTACAATTACAAACAATTTGAAGGTGAATTAAGAGGCGTTAGATACGCATGTCTAGATTACAGGGCTAAAATATCTTGTTTGTAACCCCCACATTTTGAGGAATTGGAAAGCTTATTAATCGCGAAAAGAAAAAGTCACTGACTGCGCTTGCATGTCTAAATTTCTTATAAAATGTTTTTTTTTGATTATTATTATTAATACCATTATATATTTTTAAGTCTGGCACCCTTATAACAGCTTTTTTCGATATATTTCGTGTCTAGATCAATGCAAAGCGATCTCCCGTACGCTCAGAGCCACTGAGAGAACACCAGTTCCCTGTTGGGCCAGGCTCAGTTCTCCTGGAAATTTAAGAAATGAAATCGAAAAGAGAATCTTATATGGTATCTTATATTCGATCAAATTTGAAAAAAAAAAAGAAAATCACAATCAAATACATATAAGCTCGTTTTAAAGCTGAATGGGCCTTCAAGTTATCCGTTGAAGGGTTGGTCAAGGTCATCATTTCGCTCTCCAAACATGGAGACTACTTGTTTTTATACTCAATTTCTTTGGTGAAGTGATTTAAAAAAAAAGAAGAGCATTTAAAAGTAACGAGTTTTTACGTATATGGAATTCGCATATTAATATTGGTGAATGCACTGTATTGAACGACTTTTCAGACGAATGCACAATTAAATCTATTTCCATTAATGTTTGGATTATAACCATTTCGAGATCCGCTATGCACTGTTTCTTATTGCGAGAGAGTTATAAATCATTATCGGACTATAATTTGTGGATTTAGCGATATTCCGTAAGCGTAGTATTGTACTTCATGGTGATTGTCAAGGATTCTGAGAATGGAAGGTAGACCGACCTATCTGTTCTTTAATGTTTAAAATTAAAATTTTGGTGGCTTTCCGTCAGTGGTTGGCTAGCGTTTCTCAATTCATTGCTGAGAAACGGATTAGTACAATGTTATGCCCCTTTTAAACTCATCTTTTTATTGTATCGAAATTAGTGTGACCCTAATTTTAAAGTGATTGGAAGTAGTATTAAAAATTGAAATACGGAATTATTATTGCCATTTATCTGAACTTCACGATATAACGTTTAAGTTGTCCGCCCTGTTTAATGATCACTGTCATTGCAAATTTACAATATATTACTCTCTGCCATTAAGAAACTAGGTATAGAACTGAAATGAACAATGTTAGGCATTTGTCGTAGTAATTAAAATAACTTTTGTAATGTGATATATATATATATATATATATATATATATATATATATATATATATATATATATATATATATATATATATATATATATATATATATATATATATATATATATATATATATATATATATATATATATATATATATATATATATATATATATATATATATATATATATATATATAATAACAAATCTTTTAATACTATTCTGCTTAAAAATTTTAAAACACAGGTGAAACAAAAGTCACTAAATAAGTTGTTGTTATTCGAGCGACACGCAAAATCAAACCGTAAATAAAGATTGTATTATTTTGCCCCCCAGTCCCTTGAAGATTTGGTTCAGTTTCTGACCTTCCTGGAGAATTAATCATGGCGCTTCTCCGTGACGTGCACACGCATTCGGGCGAACAAATTTGCATTTTAATTATCAGGCCAGCTCTGCTGAAATGATAATGACGACTAATAATAATGAACAAACGTAAACGAGTCGGCCGTGTAAACAACGAACAAACAATCGCTCTTGTTCTGGCAGTTCGAGTTCGACTTGAGACCGCACAGATATAAGTGGCGCTGCGCCGATATGGAATTTTTTTCACGCGAACACGGTTTGTTTCGAACAGAAAAATTTTGTTATATTTCGCATACAGGAAAAAAACTGATTAAGAAAAATGGAAGAACGAGGGTGAGAAAGTTGAGTTCACGATGGACCGGATTATATTTATTAAAAACGTAACGAAAATAAACTTTCTTGTCTAAACTAAACAATACCATCAATAATAAGTCGCGGTATACCATCCACGATTCTAAATCATCTAGGGAAAAACGCGGGGAATTAAAGACAAGCCTGGTTAACAAATTGGTAAGCGATTTTATTCAGAGAAGTGTCAGTCTGCAGTTACGATTTCAGCGCATTTTGCTTTCTCATTTTTGAAAATATGCCTCACGATAAAGCGCACAATTTCAAGTAGCTTAGTTGATACATATAAATCTTGGGACTCTAAGTATAAATAAAAATAAACGATTTTTAATTACTTAGTAAAAAAGATATACATCTTTTTTACTAAGTAATGTGTCCGATTTTTGTTTTACTGTTGAATGGTTCCAAATAATATATAATATTAATATGAATTTTATTTACACATTTTGATTATCTAAAAGAAACTAGTTAACAGTATTATCAAAAACGATAGAGATAGCTACAGGGTCACAAGTTTCTTGTAATTTCGTGTATGACCGGAATCTGTAATAATGTTTGATTTGAAAGTATATATACATTTGGTAACGCTACTCTTGCCAAAATATTTCTAAATTCTAGATTATTTGAATGGAAGAATTTCCTTTTTTAGTTTTTGGAAAACTTACTGTATAACATACAAAAGTTTATTCATCAATCAAGAAAATAGTAAAAGAAAAACCACTTGATTTAAAAAAAGAAATTAAAACCAAAAATCCAGGCTCTTAAATTAATCGCGGGATACAAAAGATATATAAAATCTAAAAAGAATTAATAATTTATTATGTATAATTATTTAAAAAACAAACATTTATTTGACAGTTTGTGAAAATGAATTTGAATTATTTATACCCAAATTGTTTGTATCAAATAGTTATTTATTCAAAGAAATAATTAGAACTTTTTAATGGACAATAATTGTTAGTTTAATTCAATGAAAATATGTTTTTTAAAATTGGTGTTAGTATATTAAATTAATTTTAATTTTTATAAATTAATATTTAAATGCCTACTTAGTAAAAGTTTTTAATTTTATAAATATTTTACGCAGATAATTGCTACGGTTTTGCCTCCAAAAACCTAAAAAACTGCATATGTCCAACATTCTGTGTATGTGACAATATAATATTTTAATGTATAATTAAATGAAAATAACACTGTCTTCAATTTTTTTCGTTTTTTTTTTTACATAATAAACGAGTCACCCAGTAGACTAATGTCGCTAATTACCTCAATGCATGTGTCTTAATCTAATCTGAGCATGTTTAACTGTCTTGCCTAAGTAAGTGATTATGTGCTTAAAATTGATGCACCGATGTCAGCGACAGTAATCCGATACTTTTACTTTGACTCAGTTGAAATATACAAAAATGGAATGTATGGAAATAAATGTCTAGAAACGTCTAGAAAAATTTTGTATTCACGTAAGTATGGAGCAAAGTCAGCCGAACGAGCAGATTTCGGATCGTCCGAGGTAATCTGCGCAAACTTTACGTGTCTTAACCCCGGAACCGACGGATTTAAGTTCAAAGATCTTTCGGTTTCTAAGTCGAAAGTAGTTCGAGTTTATGGAATATTTAATGCGACAAACATGGGGACGGATTATGAGGAAAATTAGTTTCGTCGTGTATGTATTGTGTGGAAAGGGATTTCGCGGGAAAAAGACGAGTGCAACCCTTCTTGTTAAGGGATTACGCCGAAACGTAGCAGTCTACTCGTATTATTTGATATTAATATTCGGTTTAATATAAATGGGGTTTATGTTTGGATCAATCGTATTGGACGTTTGGTATGCGCAGAAATATAATTTTTGGTTGGACAAACGGAAAAGTTCCCTTTAAATCCGGCGGTTAAATAGTTAAAGACTCGATCCGACATCCTGGAGTTTTTCCCAAAAAGGGGACCATTTGTAACTTCGCGGGGTGAGATTATTGTCATCATTCTGGCTTTGGATGGAACACGGATTCTCGACGCTGATAGAGCTCTCGGTTTTCTATGGGGCTCGCTCTTTAATCTCTTTCTGGAGCTATGGCGCGACTATTTGTTGTACGGGGATTTACGTTTAATTATTGTATACAGTAACACGGTGGACTATGATAGATTCTTTATTTGACTGTTTTAACACAACGTATATTTCCAGCATGTCCAAGTACAAAAAATTGTATACGATTAGATGAAATTCTACAATAAATAGGTTTAAATAAAAATGAACAAGAAAAATTGAAAATGTTCCATAAAAAACCATTTTATGTTGTTGATTCTAGTTTAAAACTTTTGACTTGTAATACCACTAAACGTTTTCTAGTTATAATATGGTTTCGAATTTTATTTGATTTATAACCAGAAGGCAAGTCAGCAATGCAGGCTTCAATTTTTATCAAAATAAATAAGAACTAAAAGTTCAGATTTTCACGAAATTATGTATTTTTTCATGACAATTGTTTCGACAACACCGTGTCTTTATCAAATGTAATATTTACAAACTACCTGCTACTATATATACCGAAAAATGACCACAAAACTTTAATTATTGTTGTTGTGAGAATTTAAGTTCAATAAAGGACAGGTATTTAAATCTAATTGATCGTTAAGCAATACACTTGAATGTCTCATTTTGTTAATCTCCATGGCTTCCAATAAATTTAATTTTCTACTTTTTGTGGGTGTAGGTAAAATATCAAAATTGTCGTCAAAAATGTGTTTTTTTGTGTTTAAGTGTGTAGCATAATTAGAAATTGAACTATTGTTTTTAAACGCTCTTTTACGTTCGTTAATGCGAGATTGAGATAATTGAGATTTTGGACATTTCGTTTAATTGTTTTTTAAAAATTTTCCTATTGTGTTGTTAGTTCTGGAAGCTATTTTTAGACCATATTTTGACAAATGTTTTGAAACTTTTTCACTAGATTCTCCTAGATATGTAATTGTTTTAAATTGTTCGTGTTCTGTATTAGGTTTCGGATAAATAGAGTTTACTGTTGTCTGGATTTGTTGTTTATTTATAATTTTATCTATAATGGACGGATTGTAGCCGTTGTTCAGTGCACTTTGTTTAATAATATTAAGTTCTTTGTTGTAATTTTCTGTTGAGAGTGGCGTATTAAGAAGTCTGTGTATAAAAGAGCGAAATACAGCCATTTTGTGTGTATAAGGGTGATTTGAGCTGTTATGTAGGACCGTGTCCGTGTGTGAAGGTTTATGATAAATTGAAAATTTTAATTTGTTTAGCGCTTTCGTAATAGATAAGTCTAAAAAATGAATAGAGTTATCCTGTTCAATCTCGATAGTGAATTTTATACGTTTATGTAATGAGTTAATGTAATTTAAAAAAGAATTCAATTGTCTGTCCATTCCAACAAAGCAAGCAAAGACATCATCCACGTATCTATACCACCATAGAAAACTTTTACTTAAAGGATGTTCTAGTATCATATTTTCCAAATTATTCATAAAAATCTCGGCTAACAAACCTTCCTTAGAGATGTAAATCTGTCCATTAAATTTCATTATAATTTTGATCTAAAGATACTATTAAGGAATCTAATAAATCTTGTTTCAGCAATGGGTTAACATGTTTCCGAGTTAGGGTGAAATCTATCACATCCATAGGTGGAATACTGGGAAATAAGTTTTGTACATCAAAAGACAATAGTGTTACTTTAGAAGGGATTTTTATATCTTTATTTTTGTTAAATTCTCACAACAACATTAATTAAGGTTTTATGGTCATTTTTCGGTATATATAGTAGCAGGTAGTTTGTAAATATTATATTTGATAAAGACAGGGTGTTGTCGAAACAATTGTCATGTAAAAATATATAATTGCGTGAAAATCTGAACTTTTAGTTCTTATTTATTTTGATAAATGGATTTTCATCAAGTAAAAGCCACCTCAGTTCAATTAAATTTTTATATTTTTACCAGTTATAGTGTTTTAGATTCAATATGTCTTATATCTACGGTATTGAAATTTCCTTAAATAAGGTTGATTTTATTGTAGGAACACCTATCAGTACCCTAAGAGGTTAACTTTAGTCACATTGAAACACTAGCAGCAATAGTTTTTTATCTGAATAAATTGGCTGGTTGTTGACAGTTGACATCTCAACCCCAACAACACTCAGCGTGAAATTTTACTAAATTATTTTCAGAACTTTATTATTATTTTAGGAAATCTCCAAGGTTGTTCTTTTATTTACTGCCCAATCAAATTAAATAATGACATTATGGTTAAAAGGGGATGCTATTAACAAAGCTGTAAACTTTATACCGATTAGTGGGTCCTACAGCGTCTTTCAAAAAGTCCGCACCGTATTATTAAAATTAAATAAATCTCGTGTTTAGTAATAAGTGCCTCAGATTTAATGGGAATGGGTTAAAGAACTCTTTATCTTCAATTATATTTTTGTTAAGTTTGCTATTGTTTGGTTTTGTTAGCCACACCTGAAAAATAAATAGTTGAGCAAAGCAAGAAGAGCAAATTGTCGGTTTTTCGACCACACAGCTTTATGAAGTGTTGACAAACCTAAATAAGTCTTTTCTGTTCCAGGTCCGGCATTTGGGAAAACTGTCGAGCAGCTTACGAGGACATCGTGAAACACTTGGAAAGGTAAGTCGAACTGGCGATCGATCGTTTTAAACCCCATTGGGGGTAATGCATCATACAGCTTCGAATTTATACAAAATTCGCCCAGATTGGAGGGGGTTATGGGGGGTATTTTGTCAAACCGTCACGCGATTTAAAGCCCCGGGCGCTTGATCCGGGCTTACCGTCGACACCCATGATTTGTGACGCGGGCATCGGCGTCGCGACGGATAAATCGCGACGCTTCGCAGCGTGCCGACGCATTTTTACCATTGCTAATCGGGGCAAGGGTTGTTGCCGCGGCAATTACGTACGAACGATTTCGTGATTTACCGGGGGAGGAAATGGATCGACACGGAACACTCTTGATTTGAATTTATGCGCTGAGGTATCCCTATCCGGAGGTCTTCACTTTCCAATTGTGAACAACTTTTCAACCTTTTCACCGTTTCTTATTTCACTTTGCAAATATCTAGCAAAAAAAACCTTAATTTTCGATCTATATTCCTACAGCTTTTCATATTAGATTTTTTGGAGCATTGGAAGAGTACTAGTTGGTACCAAATTTACATTTATAATAGTAGATAGATAGATAGATATTTATTTTGTTTTTCGATATTACGTATAACATATATATGGTTTTATTAAGCACGTCACATCACATTAAAATACAATGTTTAAACAACACATTTAAAAAATACATTTAAAAAATCATCTACTGAGTAGAGACACTTATTACTTAAAAAGTTCTTAATTCTTTTCTTAAAAACAGATAAGCTATCAGTTTCTTCGAAGCATTTATAGAAATTTTAAGCTATATTATATATTTTCAGGCCAAAATACCTTGGGTTTTGTTGCCCGATATGCAGTCTAGAGAATGGAACCTCCAAGTAATCTCTTTGCTGTGTGTCATATTCGTCCAAGTCACATCTCCTATTCCATCTTGTCATGTTACTTTTGACGTAATTCAAAACGGAATAAATATATAGTGACGGAAGTGTCATGATCTAAAGTTCCCTAAATAAATCCCTACATGAATGTTTACTAGTTACATGCATCATGGAACGAATAGCACGTTTTTGTGCTAAGAAGACCCGGTGTTCACCAGTGGCTAGATCCCAATAGATTATACCGTAACCTATCACTGATTGGAACAGCCCACCAGCTTTAAAACTTCAATGGATACCGTATCTCTAATATTTTGGATTAAGTATGAACAAGAGCTTAATTTGGGCAATATGTTGTCAATGAGTTTGCTGGACCTCTAACGCCCATATTTTCCAGTTTCTTTAAGAGCAGACTGTGATCGACAATGTCGAATGCGCGGCTCAAATCAAAAAATAAGTCTAGTGTGGCTGTTTTATTATTAAGGCTGTCGTAGATATGTCCAGACCATAGTCCAGAGCTGTACTTGTGGAGTGGTTGGCTCTGAATCCGTTCTGAGAATTGTTTTATCTATACTGTAGGGTAGAGAAAAATAGAGCTTGAGTGTATTTGGAAATCGGGCGTTAGATTTGAGCCTTCTTGCTATTGTTAGCAAAATCAACAAAATCAATTTAAAGGGACGTAATGTGTATAACAAATTTACGCGCTTTCGTTAGGTCGTTCATAGGGCGGCAAAACGTCATAAGTAAAAAGATCTTTGTCTATCGTTTCTTTAAATCATTCAAGCAAAGATTTACAGCATCAGTGAAAAGCGGACAAAAAATGGTCTCAATAATTTCATCAATTTCGTGTACTATCATTTTTCTTTGACGTAGATAGTAGACTATGGTGTTCTATACAAAAAGTAAACCAAATACTAGAAACTTTTACCACAATTATGAATTTCTGATTAGTCAGAAAATTTTTGTGATTTTTTTTATATTTGACCCAAAATGACATATAGATACAAAAGACAATACGAAACTCTAACAGAATTTAGTTTATTTTATTAATTTATCATGTTCAAGAATCGTAAATCATCACTTTTAAGATAAAATTTCGACAATGACCATGGGCTTCTAAAAAGTTCAATTCTGATTTCATTTTGCCATTTCTTGAAGTATTTAAATTTTGTGATTTTTTTGATCGAAATGTCGTTTTCCCATATTTCAAAAAACATTACGAGAATTAAAATTTGTTGTTATAAGAATATAGTAATTTCAAGAAAGCCGAATTTTGGAACCCGTATATATCACGTTTAGGTTAACTTTATGTTTCACCAATCATCCTGTTGGATTCTTCTGAAGTTTCTTTGCAAAAAAAAACATGTAAAAAATGATAAATTTTGTTTTTTTTTTACATTTTTTTTTTAAATAACTCTATACACCTATATATTTTTTATTAGACGATATGATTTTCATTGAAAAGGTAAAATACAGGGTGTTTCATTTACAAAGCTGTATATGCGAAAACCGCATTTTTGTCAATTTAATGGTAGTAATGCAGAAAATAGGATATCCTATGAATTACACAGGACTTCATACAATATAGTAAATTAATCTTGTGGTTGAGGGACAAATGGCAAAAATACTCGTTATACTGGTTGCTGCCTGGTATTCTGGAAAGATTTCGCCAGAAACTTTGGTATGCTGGTCATTAGATCTCCCCGCAGAAGGTTTAATAAGCTTAAACTTAAAAAAAATGTATCTTCAAAAACATTTTTTTTTCGCGATTAGTGTTAACAAGATTTCCGCATCGAATTTAATACAGCCAAATATGAGAAAAAAACCTTATTTAGCCATGTTATTCTTTTATCTACCAACATTACAAAGAGGTCCAGATTAATTGTTAGCTATAGATTGAAACTAACGAAAACTGTTTCCAAAGCTATTACTATTTCTTATTTGATATTTTTTTGCCATTGAATAAACTGTCATTGTTCATTTGTTAGAGTGCTTATGGTGTTGTAAGTTTAGAGTAAGAAATTACGGCCCACTTTAAGCGACATTTTTAATGGATACATCCGAAAATTTTCTTGGGCTGGGTTGCAAAATGTCGGTAAAATAAAAGTAGATTAGACTTTCTTTATGTCAATGCACCATGCCAGGAGAAAATTCTGTATTCTTTTCTGCGATAGTTCTTATCGATTCGACTGCAAAATGAAGCAACAGCGTCGCCGTTCGAGAAGAGCTTCCGTAATCCGACATTTTTTGACACCCGCCTTAATAACAAACTACGAGTTTATTAATATCGCACTGTCAGTTTATTAATTCCGTCACAGTTATCAAGAGTGATACTATTAATATTCATCCCTCCGGCATCTGCAACGGAGAGTAGCAACGGCGTCGGCGGCGGCGGCGGCAGCAGCATCAGCGGGCAAGAAGAAATATTCGCGTTGTCTGCCTAATTGGCCAGGTCCGTGTCTCGACGTGGATTAATTAATTTTCGGGGGCCTTAATTCGAATTTGAGTCTTTCGCAAAACCCAAGCGGGGCGGTGGGGTGCGGGCGTTTTGTTAATTCCGCGTTTCCCGTTATCCGCTCGGACAGTTCCGACTCTGAGGATTTTGTGCCTCGGTCGTTTATTTACTTTAAATTTAATTGTAAACAAATCCGGCGTCGGGTTTCGTTTGCGTCACTTGCGGCTTCCAGTTGTTTATGAGCAAAGATCCTCATCGCCGGGAAAATGGAAATTAGGTGTCTTTTTTTGGCTGGTTGTGGATCGGCCTTGCAATGATAATATCAATAGTAATACAATAAATATATAAACACTTCTAAATTAATACTTTTGAAATACTTAAATTAATTTGAAAAAAAATATATTCTGACGAGATAGTCGGATTTGCTGCGGGTATTCTATTAATCTCATGAATGCGGTGGTGGTATTCTCTTGAAGGTCTGAAATAAGCAAACTATAAAATTTGTCGGAGATATGTCTTCGCCCATAACAGAGTAAAAGTTATTATTATTATTTAAATTAATAAAAACAAATCGTCATTTATGTGATTTCTTTTATAATATAATAGCAAAATTTAATTATGTGTAACCATAATTAACCAAAATCGTATTTCGCAAAGTTTATTTCATTTTTAACAAGATATCCAAATATTTTCGTTTGAAATCTGCCTATAAATAATGTATGTATGGTTTAGGATATGTATGTAGAATTTATACAATTTTCGATACTTAATAATCCAGTCACTTTTTTCTGAAATATTTATATAGATATTGCCAATTTTGAGGTCTATTTATAATTGTTTGTATTTTTTTAACGCATTTTTCATCGTACTGGTAGTTTTGTTTAATTGTTTTTTCATTGATATGATTTGTTATACGTTTTTTTCTAATAAAAAGAAAATGCGTTATCACCACATACCATTCTTTTCTTCAAACTAATTAAACCGTAATAATCAATAATATCATTCATAGTGCAGAAAAGTTCTATTTTAAGCTAAACGTACCTATTAATGAACTGCCTTGCGTGTCGTCTTTGACTGCGTATGGTCTAAATTTTAAGTTGTACCACCCTTTTATATATCAGAGGTCGTAATAAATTCCAGAAGATCGTACAAATAAAGCAATAAATAAACCGAATTTAATAAGGTTTAGTTTTGGAAGATGAAAGATATAATAACCAATCCCACGTCAAAATGGGGACAATAAGAAATAGCAATTTTCTGGCGAAATTTATGAAATGCCTTTGTGGGATATTCTATTAACGCAACACCCCAATCGTATAAATAACCGGATAGGAAACGGTGTCGAGGTTGATGCTTTTTATGTACCTTGTACACGCAGATGATCTACTACCTTTTGGGGATAAAATATTACATCTAACACATTTGTTTGTTTTCGCACAAGCGATTTTGATGATTTTATTAGAGATTAGTTTACTTAAGACTTTTGTGATACCGTTTCTGTATCAACCAGACATGAAATTTACAAATTTTGCGTTCTTCAAAAATTTTATGGAATTTTTTGGGTTCATGCATTTTCCTAATTCATAAATTTTATATCGGCGACCCATCGGCCTTTCTGTAGAAAAAACTATGTATAGTCTGTTCATAGATATAAGAAAGTGACCAATTGCTTTTGAATGGGA